TGTATATTTGTGACAGTGATTGTAAGAAGAATAAAAAAGTGTTAAGCAAAAAATAGAAGACTAATAATGGCTCTGATTTACATAACTCAGTATACTTTAAGTCTGACTTCTGTTGTTTATATTTTTATGTACATTCCTCTTGATTTGTCCACTGCTGTTCAAAATCAGAGGACTGTAAACATAACATTTCAGGTCTACCTTTTGTCTCCCACAGGTCCAAGAAACTTTTTGTTCAATACCAGTGAAAGACAAAAGACTATGAAACAACTTTAAAAGTTAGGGTTTAAATGCCAAAAAGCAGTGAAGTATTGGAAATCAATAAACCTAAAGATTTTGAGTCACAGTTGACAAGTGAAGAGAAATGTGGGAAAACATATCTTCAGTTAAGTTGATTTTGATTAAAAAATTTTAGGCCTGTTGTTTTCCAGTACTTCACCATCTTTTGGTGTTTGAACCATAATTATCTATGTACATAAAAAGCTCCACAACCAAATAAATAACATTGAAAATCTCATGATTTAATGGCTATTTGACATAATGGCAGGTACTATAAGCATAAAATTTGAAAATCAGTGAATCTTAATTTTCTTTAGTTTTAATATTGACAAATACAGAAAATTGTTCATACTTCATTTTACAGGTTTGTAGAGATATTGATCATATTTGTAATATAGTGTATGTATGAGTAACAGTAGCTTCATTATTCTAGTTTTTCCCTTACCACTATAACAAAAATATTTTAATTAGTGATAATGGGGATTTGATAAATAAATCTGATAAGTGCATGGGACATTTCAAAATTAAATAATTACATATTAGATAATTAGTTTTTTCACAATACTGATAAGCACAAAAATTTGATAATTTTAAAGTTGGTTCTTGCTAACATTAAAGTAATTTCAGTATTTTAACTACAAGTCACCATACAGTATACTTGTTTGCTACTCCTATCAGGATCACACTTTAAGTTTCAGGTGTAGGTGACAAAATTGTTTAATAGTGATTTTAGTCTCTCATAAAACCATAAAAAATGCTTTTTTACTTTTTATAATATATATACTAGTATTTCAATTTACTACTACATTATTTAACCACAGAAACACCAAATTTATCACCTTTAAACTGAATGTATCATTGAGTTGAGAGCCAAGTATTAGTTACAGACATAAGTCACAAAAAATGTAACCTGTTACTGTAAATTGTAAAAGTTATGGTTTACTGTTTTGAAGACACAATTTATGATAATATTATTACAGCATGGTCTTGAATAGTTGCCATTCCTTTAACTAGACCTGTAGACCATGTATAAATTTTTAAGTAAACCCTTACCAACAGCTTTTCTAGTCACAGGTTTTTCCAATTAAATTTCTGTTTGTCATGAATTTGTTCTTTCAGTATATGCATGCTCAGTTTTTCCATAAGAAAGGTTCATGGATGAAATCTGATGAATTTTACTTTTTTGTCGTGTTTATCACTAAGCACAGTAGTTTTTAGTATGTAGGGATCGGTCGGGGGAAAAAAATGGCTGTCGCATATTATTTTTGTATGGTCTTGGGTATTTATCCCTACCTTTTTTCTGTACTGTTTGACACTACCAACCGTACATCATCCATATTTTTTCTATTTTTCTTTTATTACTTGTTTGGATTAGTTTTGTTATATATATTTGTTGACAAGCATTCCTTGGTTTATATATTGAAAGCTACGTATACAATGTTCACAGCCAAGCTGGTCTAATTATGCTGTGGCCTCAGTCTGTTAATCATCGCTCTTTATGTACAGATGTTGCATTCATCATCGACCTTAATTAAAATCATAAATAGTGTGAGTGGACAGATACATCATACTCATCTAAAGCATACTTTAAAATATTTCACATTTGCCTGTTAACTTAAATAAGGTTGAAGCTATCTATTAATTGGCTTAATGTGTAATAAATAACCAGAATGTATAAATTTGTAGACAACATATGAGGAATTGTAGTTTTAAACCCAGAAAATTTCTGTTTCTACCTACATATGGTTTTTAAATCATTCTTAAGTTAGTATGTGGATAAACTCTGTTCAACCTTACACAGTTGATTTTTCACACACACAGCTTGTTATCAGTATGAGTTATTACAACTAACAAAGGTTGCTTAAGAATGTTCTGCTTAAAAAAAAAGCAGCAGTTTGACAACCATGTTTTTTTAAGATATGTTTCATCATATTGAATAATTTTGTTTTGTCTGTAACAATACTTATTGTAAAGAACTGACCAGAAACTAGTGAAATCACTCATTCTTTTTATGAAGTACCCAGGGAACTATAGCAGCAATTAGTGGGATTAATTGGAATAATGATGGTATTTTTTACTTTTTGTGTGAATCATAACAAGTAATTTGGTGCACAAATTGTTTAGGAAACTGTTCAAAATGCACACAAGTTTCATAAGGAAGTGTTCAATAGGTTATGTTGGATTGACCACTATGTGTTTTCAGACTGCAAGCAGATCAAAGTGTAGCATTTTAATGCATGTTTTGTGTGTGCATGATGTGGTTATCCATTAAAGTAACTTTAAGATTTAATTACAGCCTATGATAAATGCAATCTCTGCATAAAATTCTATTGATTAATAGATTAAGGTCACAACTTAATTAGACTAGTTTATTTGTAAATTTGTTTTTGTAATGTTGTCAGTTTTAACAATGTAAACTTGCTACTGTAAAAATTCTATTTTACTTTCTTACTGCTCTTATTTTAAGTTTGCATTATTATTGTTATTATCATAGTGAATTTTTATTGTATTTACAGAAAGGTTGTTGAGTTCTTGAGCAACGAGGGACATATTTACACAACAACTGATGACGATCACTATAAAGCAACAGACAGCGGATAAGAACAACAGCAACAGAAAGAATATTGTGCTTTATTTGTTTAAAATGATTTTTGCAAACTTTTATGTACAATTTTAGATTTCAAATACTTTTTTTTTCAACTGCATATTAAGTAGAATTTGATCTGTGAAATCAACTGCATATTAAGTAGAATTTGATCTGTGAAAAATTTATATTTTCTTTGAAACTGTGAAAAGAAGTTATAAATTAGAACAGCAACAAGTTAGTACTTTATGTTCAACTAAGTCTTAAGGATGGAAACTTCATTACAATGTCAGTCTAAAGCTGTTTAGTTTAATCTGTTAAATAAATATCTTTCAAAGACATGCATTTTTCATTGGTCTAACTCAAGATATTAAAATAATGTGCATTGATAACTAATGCAATGAGTGTTTTTGTAATATATAGTCACAATTTAAAGATGATAATTTTAGGAAAATAATTTTTTTTTTAAACGTTCTTGTTGCCATTTAGCTCTATTAAGAAATTATTTTTAATTTCAAACCCAGTAATTTAAATTATTTTTTTATAGTGTTACTAAAACCACATAAACTAAAGAATAAAAGCTGAAGTGTCACATTAATCACAAAATCACCATTTTATCAGCTTTATTTATGCATTTTTAAGAAAGGCTTAAGAACTTGATAATTGTGCTTTAGATCAACAGTTCTTAATTTTTAGTCCATGAAAAGGTTGCCTAAATACTGCAAAAAGCAGCAGTATAACATATAGATCCCACTATTGACCCATGATGTTTATAACAATAGTATCACCTTATGTTAGTGTATAGGCACTAGTTGTTGAAGCTTATTTGTATCAATTCTTTTCATGTTCATTTTAAATATATTTGGGGACCTTAAAATTAATTAAAACAGCTTTTACAAGATAAACTTGTATCATTGAAAGCATCCAACACTAATAGTTTTCATAATGCAAGAAGCCAAGTCAGATCTGCCCCAGTGACATCAGACTTGTATGTAAACATGCAGAGTAAGTAATTATTCATTATAATATAGCTGTTTACACCTTAATATCTTGAGTGAAAGGAAAGGTTAATTAACAAAGTGGGCCAAACAGTCTATTTTGAAAGAGAAGAAGAAACTTTCATTTTAAAGAATAACCCTGTTTTAGATAGATGCTCATTGAGGAAATACTGTTATAAGTAAATAACTTGTATTGAAGTCACTTTATAGTAAAGAACAGTGTAACATAATAACTTGTGTTGAGGTTACTTTCTAAGGAAAGAACAGTGTAACATAATGACATGATGAAGTCACTTTATAAGGAAAGAACAGTTTAACATAATAACTTGTGTTGAGATCACTTGGAAAGAAAAGAACAGTGTAACATAATAACATGTGCCAAGGTCACTTGATAAGAAAGACTAGTGTAAAGGAAGAACAGTGTAACAATTATAATACCTTGTGTTGAAATTTTATGGTAAGGAAAAACCGATTTTAAAAACTGTTTTCTAGTTAATATTTTTCAATATTACAGGTCATAGGCCTGAATTAACTCAATATACACCATAATAGAACACTAATGACAGGATTATCAATGGCAAATCACAAATTTGAATTTTTTTTGCATTCTGAAAATAAAGGCACAATATATGAATCACTAGTACATAAATAATAAAAGAAACTGCTACATAGGTTTTACTTAAAACGCTGTGTACTTTAAACACTTTTCAATCAAAAATGTTATTAATCGTTAGAAACTTTACCTTTACATGAATTGTAAACCTTTACAATTAACATTTTAAATTACCTAAAACATATCAGTATATTAAGACTCAGTGTGTGTGTGTGTGTGTGTGTGTCACGTAACTCCTCCAAACCGCTGGTCGCACCGACTTTTAAATGGTGCCTCGATGTTTGCACAAAGGTAAAACTTTTCACCCCACCTCTTAGGAAACACGGGAATTTTGCTATCAAAGGCAATAAGGTGAGCAGGAAAGAACATTTTATGTACCTTTTCATTCAAATTTAACTTAACAGGTAAAATTGGCTAAACATACGATCAGTGTCTTAACTAATTGTATAGTTTTTTGTGGAAATATCAAAATTTGTAATGCGTGAAGTTTTAACACGTGTTTAAACTTGTCATAAAATGTAACCAAATTTTCCTGAGAAGAATGGATAACTTTTGATACCCAAATTTATTTCCTGGTCTTATCAGTAACTTTTTGCCTGGCCTGGTGGTTAGGGCTCTCGACTCGCAATCTGTGGGTCGTAGGTTCGAATTCGCGTTACAGAATATGCTCGCCCTTTCAGTCGTAGAGGCGTTATAATGTGAAGATCAATCCAACTATTTGTTGGTAAAAGAGTAGCCCAACAGTTGGCACTGAATGGTGTTCAGTAGATGCTAAATTGGGAAACGGCTAGCGCAGATAACTCTCGAGTAGCTTTTCGAATAACAAAACTTTTTTTTTACATGTTATTGTCTAGGATATCTATAACTAGATAATTGTGCTAATTTAAGCTAGAACTTAACACACATTGCTTGTTTATAAAAAGTTTTGGACCGGCATGGCCAGGTAGTTAGGGCGCT